ATTGGTATGATTCTCACCCTAACAAAGTTTAGTTTTGAAAGGTCCACTTTATTAATATATATATATATGACATTTTATATTGAAAATGTCTGTTACTGTCACCTGAGTTGTTTTGATCATCTGTAAGTTCATGTACTTAAGGGGTAGCTGTCACAGCCAACTCACGAACTTTTCAAATGCAACTTAAAAGCAAATTCCATTAGGTTCCATTGTAGATTACCCTGCAGAAACCAAAGTCATTGAATAGGTGAAATCCTTTGTGAAATTTTGAATTGATTCAAAATTTTTATAGATATATAGTTTTTCTCTCTTGAAACATATTACTTTTTGGAATCTTTCTTTTCCTGTCTGAAAATTTGAATCCTACAGATTCTAGGAAAATATCATGACTCATACCACATACAAACAGTATATCTTTGGTCTGTAAATGTTTTCTTCGCTATCAAATGAAAATAGCTGCACCTGTTTCTTAGTCTCATTATAAAGATCAAATGAATAATATTGTTGGAACTATTTTACCCAAAGCCACTTTATAATGTGAGTAGATGCTTTATAAATATGTGTTCTTATCTCTCCAAGTGAATTGTTGCATATACTGATGTGTTGACTCTTGAATTACATTCTTTTCTTCTTTCATTACATTGCTTCCTTCACTGAAGAAAGTTATTTTTTCTCAGAATTATTCACCTTTTAAACTTTTTGTTCTGTTCTGATTCTTTAGATAAGGAAGTTAAAGGGATTTACACACTAACATTTTCCCAACTCTGAATGCTAGCTGTAACCCACTGGCTTTTAACTAGAACCATTACTACATGTAGCATGTGGAATTATACCATGGAAAGCAACAACCTATAATCATTCTCTTACCACTTTCAGTCCTTTGATGGAAAAGATAGAAAATCATACTGTCCCCCTGTTTTTAAAATATATTTCAAGCTAAGCACCAAATCTAACAAAAGGTGACTTTTAGAAGCAGTAACAATTTAATATGAAAATTAAATTGATATATACTACAAATGAATTGAACATAAATTGGAAGATTATCATGAAGGCTCGAGGAGGCAAGGTCACCTTGCCATGTGGAAGTTAAAAGAACAGAAAGTGTGGGGCCAGGGAGATGGCTTAGTTGAATAAGTGCTTCCCTGGCAAGCGCAAGGGCCTGCGTTCAATCCCCAGTTCGGCCAAAAAAAAAAGGAAGAGAAAGTACTATATCTGTGAATGTAGTCAGAGATAGCAGTTCATATCCCAGAAAAACCTGTAAGGTATTTAACCTGAGTAGGAAGACAGTACAATAAAATAAAATAACTACATAGGCTTACCAAAGTGAAGTGTTGCTACAAGCAAGAGGCTATTACAATAACTAAGGAATATAATGACAATAAAGAGTTTTATTTCTATTTTAACACACTGTATTTCAGGAAGTGAGCAATTTTGGGTGGCAAAATTAATGATGTGTTTAAGGCATATTTGTTTTCTGCCTTCTCTAACCTTTTAAAGAATTGTATTAGCGCATGTTCGCAGTACATAATAATTATATTACTGATGGGAAGTTGATACATGTCCATAATGTATCTTAATTCTGTTTTTCTCTCCTTACCCTTCTTTTTTTTTTTTTCTTTGTATTTTAGGGAAGGGTCTACAGGGTGTTCAGGGTCTCACTACTAGATCCAACTCGTAGTGATCTACCTGTTTACAGCCTCCCAAGAGCTGGGATTATAGGTGCATATCACCATACCCAGCCTCAATCACCATCTCAATGTGCCCCATGGGCAGGGCTGGCATGGCAGGCCTGGGGTTCAAACACTTGGCCCCTGTGCCTGATTGCAGGCACTTTAATCCGCTGAGCTATTTGGTGGCCCTTCCTTCCCCATCTTTCCCTTCCCCCTTCCTCCATCTGTTAGTTCCCCTTGCAGAACTTCTGTCTCCTGATCTGCCATTTTCCTTCTTTTATTTTGCTCTTTATTTGTGCTTTGGGTTTTCCATATAAAAGAAACCAGAATCTTTAGATTCTGTGTCTAATTTATTTCACTTCACATTATGGTCTCAAAGTACATCCATTTTCCTACAAATGACTGAAATGTATCCTTTTTTATGACAGAGTAGTACTCCTTGGTATATAAATGAATGCCATGTTTTCTTTATCTATTCATCTATTGATGAACTATAGGCTTCTTCCGAGATTTAGCTGTTATGAATTGTGCTGGTATAAACATGGGTCTATTTGTATCACGGTAATATGATGTCTTTAATTCTTTCATGAAGAAACCTGGAAAGGGAATATCTGAGTCAAATGAAATTTCTAGTTTTAGGTTTTTGAGAAATCTATCCTAATTTCCATAGCTAGATTACATTCCCACCAACAATGTAGAAACATTCCTTTTCCCCATTGCTTCCACTGTATTTATTGTTTCTTGAGTTCTTGATGATGGTCATTTTTTCTCGAGTAAGATATAATCTCAAGGTGGCTTAATGGCCAACAGTGTTGAACATGTTTTCATGTATTAGCCATTTGTATGTTGAGAAGGTTCTATTCATTATACTTGCTTTTTTTTTTTTTTTTTTTTTTTTTTTTTTTTTTTGATGTGCATGATTTGTCTAACTTCCTTTACAAGCTTGTATATCCCTCCCGTGCAGTGGAGAGAGCCATGTATGTGCTGCACAGTGCTGCACATACACACAAGTGCCTGATCTCCTCCTTTGCGGGAATGTGTTTCTGCCCATACTGAGAGTGAACTGCCTTCAGAACTAGGAGTGTTCATGGACAGGGGAGATCTGAACTTTAAAATGCTTGTTGAGTCTAGATGAAAAATACTCATCCATAATGCAATACCTAAGATATTTATCACAGGTTGCTTTGGATATTTGCTTTTTGCAACTTTTTGAATCATGCTTGTACTATTTGTTTTCTTTTACCAATTCACCAAAGAAAGTTAGAATTTTTATAATGACAGTGCTAAATCAGAAATTTTAAACAGTGACAGTTTTCCCAAACTGAGGCGTGACAGATGTCTTTTTATACGTAAGATTTTTCATGGAGATGAATTTTACTTTCTCCTCTGCCTGTCACTGCTAATGGTTTTGCTGTTCGTAGTCCACTCTAGGAAGCAGACAGATTAGAAGTTGAAGTAAGTTTTTGTTTTTAGTCTTTTTAGTTACTTACAGAGTAGTCTGCTTATCATCAATGTGATTTTTTTTCCCCAAACATAGCATGCTTTGTGTCCAGATATAAGCAAATCAAGTCTTCCCAGAACAGGTAATGCACTAACAGCCCTTACAAGCTTCTGGGTATTTCTAGTCTCTATGTAGCAGGGGCAAATATGGGAACTGTTGACTCTTTTCACCTCCTTTTAGAATACTTAAAGCATAATATGTGATACCAATCCAGGGAGACCAAGTTCTGGTACCCATTAGCATTTGTGTCTTTATCTCATTCCTCTTGCTGCCTTAGCTCCCACTGCTGGCTGCTCCTCATGGACTTAGGTATGATGAGAGTTAAATTC